ATATATATATATATATACTCTGCTTTTTTTCATACTTGCAATTTAATGAATATTTCATTGTTCATTTTTATCTTCAATTTTTCAAATATGCTCAACTACCACTTTAAAAGTTCTTGCACTCGCTCAGGCTTCGTTTACAATCTTAGGCATTTTCCTCCCTCACATTGCCTACAGCCATGTTTCTTCACCTTCACTTATGACAATTTACTATACTATGCTATACTAATTAATTATATTAATCATCATCCTGAATCGTCAATTAATCTAGTCTCAAGTTACACACATTTACACTCAAACTCAAAATAATTTGATGTATGCACATATAATGGCTATATTTAAGTTCAAATAACAATATGAATAAGAATAATTTTATGTTGCATATTTTGAGAATTTTCATTCATTTTTCCCCTTCTCCCGGTCAGATGTCAAGTCTTTTCAATTGCCCCGATATCAACCAATCAAAGCCAATTTAGGCTGTCCTATTTCTCGTTCGACTTCCCTGCCTCGATCGCCTCTTGTGCGTCCCTGCAACTATTATAGTAAAGTGGCACCTGTTCCTGCTTTGTCCTTCAAGTTGGCTGTCTCTTCCGGTCACTCAACTTCCAGAGCACTTGTAAGACCTGCTATAACGCATAGGATCTCATCTGGAAAATCATTTCGACGGATTGTTCGTAAACCAGTGTCTCTCATCAAAAATTCGCCACTTGAATCAGCAACTTCTTCCTTAACTAGGTCCTGTTTAGTAACACACATTCCCGCATCCACTGCCTTAGAACTAAGTTCTCCTACCGTCATTTTTTCAACTTCACAACCATCTATTGGATCTCGGCTCTTGAAAATACCTCCCATACCCCAACAACTGACCGATAGCTCTGAAGCTTGCCACGTGGGATTTCACACCTATCCGTCTTTGTGCTCACTTGGATCAGGAGAAACTGAGTCAACTGCTCTTATTCATCGAGCTTTAGTGCCATTACTACCCTCATCATCATTGGATTTTGGGCCTTCCTGTACTGATGTGTGTTGTTTACAGGCGGAATCAAATGCTCTCTTAGTGGCAGCTAAAGCAGCAGCTGTGGCAGAAACCACCTCAGCAATAGAAAACTTAGACACAGCGAGTATTAATCAAGGCATCTTCACATCTGCGAAATTCAACTCTCCCACCTCTTTGATCACACCCACTACATCAAACTTTCCAATGACTTCGTATTCTATCGATGGGTTGTCCATGTCGCCAGGCGAGAATACTGGTATTTCGTCCTCTATTACGACATGCTCCTCCCTCACTTGTTCTTCATCCGCTCCTCCTGGACCCTCTTCTGCCTCCAATATTTTAGCATCGCCAACTACCTCTAATCAATCCGGGGCAGGTCCTCTTCAAAAATTACCACTATTTGACCACGCCTTGTCTACTTCTCGTCATCTTTCAAGCACTCTGCCCCTTTCTACTTCAACGACTATAAGTATTGCTCCATCTTCCCCAGCAAATGCTTGCTATTTACCTGCCCCTATTTCCTCGCGTTCCTCTCTTCTATCCGGTTCTAATGTTCAACTCTCCCCCAACCATCTACCTATTTTGGCACCATTCTTACATGCTACGACGCCAACAACTCTGATGCTTGCCCATTTACCATCGGGTGTTTCCCAAAGTCAAATTCTTACGGCCAAGACTTCTTCAGCTGATGTAATCTCTGAACTAGCCGTCAGTTTGCCAGAGAATGGCAGCAGCGTCACTGGGTTGGGCAAATTTAGCTCGGTCGATCCTGTCATGGCTTCGTTCGCTCGGCTTCATCTTCCATGTTCTGGGTTTGGACTGACCGCAATCCCTATACCAGACGTAAAGAACGAGTCGATTACTTATCTTCCGGGTAGGCTTAAAGCAGCATAGTCTTATGATGGGATACTGCACCTTATAAAATAGCTACTAAGTGTCTAAATGTATTAAAGCACTGTTACGATTGACAGATTTTTAGCTTTATCGTAAAGAGAAATTGCATTTGGGCATACTATGTTATCGCCATTTTTTCAGTTACTTAAAATGTCAAAGGTTTATCTAAATCGGAATACATCCTGGTGTGTAAAATTCTTTGAATAGGAGCTTTGGTCACTCTAGGTCTCATAAAGAGATGAAGGGCTGAGAGTTGAATTTTTAAACAATACTGTGAGTAGGCCTCAAATGGTCTTTGAAATTCATTTAGCATTTTGTCCCAAAGGTTATTCTCTTCCAGGGCTGAGTTCAGTTTTGCTCTCGCGTAGTGTAGCGTATATTTTCTACATGCTACCGCTACGCCACATAGTGGCTATATAGTATATTGGTAACCTGTCGGAAATATGCATCGATTCATCATTTATTTCGTTCTATACATGATTTTATTTGGGAACGGCAGTGGTTAATTAAGTGATTTCCCATGTCCATCTGCAGAATTAATGCATTTCGACAACCAGGATTTGTTTTAGAGGGCTTCTGGAATGTTCAGATGGGTCTTATTGAAATGAATGAGTTGCGGCATATCCATAGATATTTTTAAATTCTAGGTTTCAAGTACTAAAATCACTAGTCTGATATTACTTGTGCATGGTGATTGATCTTCGTCATTCTTTCATATAGTCTATACTAATGAATTTAAAGCTTTTACTTCTTAATGTATATTTCGTTTAAAGCAGTGAAAATGTGCCTTGATCTCGACATTTTTATTTGATTTATTTCGAAACTGATGTGGTTGACTGATATTTTATCTATTGTCAGATCCTGGGACTCATTTTGCATGCCCCTTGTTTCAACTCTTCTTATTCTATCGCATATAGGAAGACCAAGATGGGGTTGCCTTCACATCAGCAGTTCCAAATAAGGTTTGACACATGGCCTCAGAGAATAAGAAAGAATGGAGTGGGAATAGGAAAGATGATGACTGGGTAATGGGCCTGAAGCCTAAGGAGAACGAGCCTAAAAACCTTTAATATGAAGTAAACATGGATCTGAATCAAAGGCTTATTGGCAGCCAGATAGTAATTTTCATGTAGCAGGGAGCAACTGGCAAGTGGAGTAGAGGCTAAAAGAAAGTGCGACTTTGGTCTCGGAATCCCTGCAAACGGCCTCTGAAACCGATGTTAAGGATGATTACGTTTTATTAAATCCCCTTGAAGTGGCGAACTCTTAAGCGGCATTTGAGCAAACGGAGACAAAGAATGTCTCAGATAAGTGAATGCTGGCGAAAATCTGGGAATGTGCCAAATCAACGGTCCAATGTTGGAAGTCATGAATACTCTGACAGCGTTTGCAGGACTAGGTATCTTGCTCCCTGTCGCTCCGACCAAGTCGCGAAAACGAGGTCAAATCAACACTTCTTTTTCTAGTCTAATGCTAATATCGAAACCTATTCAATATGAATATACATAGCGCATTTGATTGTAATGGCAAATATTAGTCTAGGAAATTTCAATTATTAATCCTTCAACACCTACTGCGACCTGTGCTTTTGAAATTTTTAAATCTATGTTTCCACACTAGAAAATGTCTAAGCTTGAGGTGTTTCTTTAATAATGGGTTTTAATGGCTATCTGTAATTCTGAGTGTTGCACTTGTCTAACTAAGTGATTCCTATGAAACGCTCTGAATAATTGTAGTTTTTACTTGTAAGCTTACAATTAATTTACCCTTCATATGGCATTACACGGACTTATCGATTGCCACTATTATTTAATTGAACATTATCGTCGGAATTCATCTTGTTTTTTAGGTTGCTCTGAGGTAATTTGGTCTGACAAAAATTTAACTACATGACGACCAATAGTAAATTGTAGGCAAAACATGACTATTCGAAGATAAGAAGACCGAGAGTATGATCGTTGTTCTTTTCTTTGTGCATAAGCGGCTTGACCTCATTTTCCACGCTTAGTCGTATTGTTAGAGATACCTAAATGAACTCTTCCTGTCCGGAGTCCTCTGTCATAGTGTTCATGACAATTTCCATGATCCGACCATCGGCTTGGTATATTCCACTGGAAGATTGTCATGAATACTCCGGATAAGGCAAGTTTTCCTAGATCTTTGACAATACGACCAAGTTGTGAGAACGAGGTCAAACCACTTCTAAATCTTGACTATGTTCATCAAGACTGCTTAATATTTTTATTTACGTTTTGAATCACACTGAGTCATTTAAGTATGAATTCCTGCTCAGACTTTTATTGGTGCGTGGTACGATATTTCGTTCAAAAATATCCACTTGTTTCCATTCTTCAATTATACATTTTATTGGGTTAACCAGAAACTTCGGTTGGTATTGTGACTTATCACTCAGATGTAGCTTGTTCTGCTTCTCGATAAACTCAAGGAAAACTTTTTCATTCTCTCTACATTCCTTGAGAATTTTACTGTAATATTACTCTTAACTTATCGCTAGGTGTTATTGTTATGAATAAAAGGGAATAAATTGTCATTTACGTATATTTCCCTTCCACTTTATCAGCTTTTGCCAACAATACCGTATATAGCAGCAGCAAAGGCAATAATGATGAAAAAATTACCTCCAGCAGCCCCCCCTTAACGACAGGACTATCATTCTCCCATTATGCCATCGCAGTTGGTTTGGCTAATGCTGCCGCCGCAGCCGCCGCTGCAGCGGCCGCAAGCAGCAACAATCAAGTTTATATTCCTAATGTTACCAGCATTGTAAGTGGTGGCTTCACCCGGATTAGACCCCTTGGAAGCATCGGAGTTTATCAAGGCGGATTCCAGTCAAGTAATTCTCAAGTTGGTTCCTCATTAAACTACCCGACATTATCTCAAAACCAACCATCTCCTGAGGACATCAGTTTACTTTCACTTGGCCAGTTTCCTTCTTATCCGCATCTTACATCAACCTCGGCTACCAGCGCTCCGGTGTTGCAGATAAACACTCCTGTTGGGCAACTGGCTCCCACTTTTGGTTATCATAAATTGGTTGACCTACCTACGCTTGGTTCGCCAGGCCTGAAAGTGCCTGTCCTCTCTTCTTCTACATCTCCATCAATGCTATCAGCGATGCCAAGTATTTCGAGGCAAGTGAGCGAACCACTAACAATGGTTGCCTCAGAAACGACAATTTCAAGAACTTCAGAACTCCCTGCTTTGGCGGCAGTAGCAGTTGCTACTCCAAAACATCCATTACAGTTGCACTTGCCATGCCAGGTTCCTGCCACTGGTCTTTTCACTCATAGCCAGACAATCATGGAAAGGCCGACGAAACTGCCACTTCAGGGCTCTGCTTCTACTGGATTAAATCTGCTTCCCGTTTCCTCAGTCTCACTATCCCCCTCCTCTCGCTTCACTCCTACTACCTCCAGTTCTATCACACCCATAGCAGAAGTAGGCGAATCAGCCAGTCTTT